TTCAACGTAATTGCAATATTTTTTGTTTGTACAACGTAAATTGAAAAAATAAATTATGTAATTCTGTAATCACAGGCTAGACGTACAACGTAATCAATCAAATATTTTGTTCGTACACTGTAAAAATGTGTCATTTTTCTCGGTACGTACAAGAATTTTCTAGGTTTTCTTTCTTAATCTTCCGTAAAATGTAAAATAGCCTTTATTTTCTCTGTAAACTGTAAACATTCAATTTTCACTGTAAACTGTAAAAACGTCCTTTTTTCTTTGTAAATTGTAAAAGGCCCTATTTATTTTCCCTTAAAACTGTACCAGCTACCCCCCTTACCGCCCCTCGCCATTGTACTGGGTTTGTGGGTGGTACATTTGGGTCAGGGATTTGGGTCTATGGAGTTAGATCATCGAGAAGCCTTCAGTATAAGCATCGTATTGGGTTCGTGTGTAAGATATTTGCGAATATGGCGTCACATATACTGGGTTCGTATGTAGGATATTTGGGAATATTGCGTCACATATATTAGGTTCTTGCGTGTGATTTTTTTCGGGGGGTATGGCGTTACATATACTAGGTTTGTCACGGTGTGTGGGATATTTAGGTATATGACGTTACATATACTAGATTCGTGTGTGGGATATTTGGGTATATTGTGCCACATATACTGGGTTCGTGCTTGTGATTTTGGGGGGGTATGGCGTTACATATACTAGGTTTGTGTGTGGGATATTTGGGTATATGGCGTTACATATACTAGATTTGTGTGTGGGATATTTGGAAATATGGCGTCACATATACTGGGTTCGTGTGTGCGATATTTGGGTATATTGCGTCACATATACTGGGTTCGTGCTTGTGATTTTTTGGGGGGTATGGCGTTACATATACTAGGTTTGTGTGTGGGATATTTGGGTATATGGCGTTACATATACTAGATTTGTGTGTGGGATATTTGGGTATATGGCGTCACATATATTGGGTTCGTGTGTGCGATATTTGGGTATATTGCGTCACATATACTGGGTTCGTGCGTGTGATTGTTTTCGGGGGGTATGGCGTTACATATACTGGGTACGTGTGTGGGATATTTGGGTATATGGCGTTACATATTCTAGATTTGTGTGTGGGATATTTGGGTATATGGCGTCACATATACTGGGTTCGTGCGTAAGATATTTGGGAATATGGCGTCACATATACTGGGTTCGTGCGTAAGATATTTGGGAATATGGCGTCACATATATTAGGTTCTTATGTGTGTGTGTTTCGGGGGTATGGAGTTACATATACTGGGTTCGTGTTTGGGTATTTGGGTATATTGCGTTACACATACTAGATTTGTGTGTGGGATATTTGGGTATATGGCGTCACATATACTGGGTTCGTGCGTAAGATATTTGGGAATATGGCGTCACATATACTGGGTTCGTACGTCGAATATTTGGGAATAAGGCGTCACATATATTAGGTTCTTGCATGGGATTTTAGGGTACATGGCGTCACATATACTGGGTCTGTAAGTGGGAGGAACAGTTGTTGTCGGGAATCGGAGCAGGGAACTGGCAAGAGGCATACAAGTTAATGTAAAATATCTGAAACAAAACTGTCGGTCAAAGGTGATTGGAGATTTCAAGCAGGCATGAATTTCCAAGCATAAAGTTAAACGCACGTATTAGAAATCAAAATACATTAATTTTCGCTTGAAAATGTCACACGGCTTGTAACACAACCCGAGATTAAGAGCAGTGCCGTCACGTGACCGCGATTTACGAAATGAGTACCACGATTGTCTTGAATTGCCCAATGAGCTTCCAAGAATGACCTTATGTTTGACCTCCAAAAGGACATACAACCTGGTATTTTTTGAGGTACAAACACATTATGGATGAACATTTCATCGTTAATTAATGTAAACAGTTGCCATTGAAGTTCATAAGCACTGAAAAATGAACAAAATGAATGACAATATTGAAAATTATTGTTGTTACTAGGGCAACAAAACCCGCCCCGCCCCATGAAGTACCGGGATGTAACAGGCAGGAGTTATGTGTGCCACCTCCATATACCGTAACTTGGTCATTGGCGCGACATTTTAAATCGTCTCCGTTATAAACTCGGGCGACGGCATAGTTGGGAAAACAAATTGCACAGAAAAAAATCACGAACAAAGACTTTTGAAGGGATCAATAACAACAAAATAATTTGCACGCCTAAATTTAAAGGGCAAAGTATTTTATACAGCAAATTTGTCATGAACAAAAATGGGCTCAGTTTATAATGGTCCTTGTCTTATGTAAAGGATAAATCCCGATTTTTATAAACGAGTTTCCATATATACTACATCGATCAATGAGACACGGTTCATTAAACATTACTTAAATATTAGGCAGCACCGCCTTACAGGATGTTTTGTAGTTAGTGAATGTTGTAATTTGATGTTCAATTTTAGTTCGTTTTGTAGTTTTCACAGGTTCCCAAGTCAGTGCTGTGTCAGTAAATAAATAAATAAATAAATAAATAAATAAATAAATAAATAAATAAATAAATAAATAAATAAATAAATAAATAAATAAATAAATAAATAAATAAATAAATAAATAAATAGGAATTACACGTCAAATAAAGTTTAGTGACCCCTATCCTGGTTTGTAGGTTATTTTAAAATGTAATGCCATATAATGTACTAGTATATTCGATATAGATAGACACATCATAGTACATTCTTTCATTGGCTAATATTATTATATTAAATGATATTTATAATTTACAGTTACGTCTGGCAGAATCCTATGATTCTAAAATTGCGGGAAATTGCCAACATGTGGGGGTTCGAACTTGTTTCCATGGAAACAATGATTATGCGATCCTCCCCATCGCGTTGAGCTCTACGATGACATTTTTAATTAGTACGTGGAATTTGGTCACCATAACTGCACTTTTAGAACATGGATATGTTATTAAGCCATGATAGCCAAAATGTGTACATGGGTGTTGTAGGGGTTATATTTACATCCGGGATTTAAAAATGAAATTTATGGCACTTGCGTGCTGACAAGGTCCCAATAAAAACGCCCCCTCAGTAGACTTGCATACAGTCTTTTGTTTGTTTGTTTTTTGTGTTGTCTTTTTTTTTCAATACAATAAATTATTATGTGAGTGTACTAGTATATGTGGTGAGAGCCGTGTTACCACGAAACAATTGCAACAACGGTGGAATGGAAAGATTGTTTTTACCTTCCTAAAATTTTCATTACACGCATGGCAAAAAGCGTTACAATTGTCGTTTTGTGGTGGCTCCCATATCAATTATTCTTATCCTCGGGGGCGGAGCTACGTCACAGACGTTCCACGTTGCTAAGACGCGCACCACTGTACCACGTATTTCTATGGGCTTTGTGCGCGCTGCTGTGGAACTCCGGTGGAGCCGGTGAAAATTCGAGAAAACAACACAAACTCAACTTTGAAGTAATCCCGAACAACCAAATTTATATATGTTACACACGTAGGGCTAATCTTGTTACACTGTTCAGAGGAGTCTCAACAATCATCCCAAAGTACCGTTTTCTGCGAGTTTTGGGCCTTTGTTTTCACCGCCGCTGGTTGCCAGGCGGTGAAAATACCCGGATGTCCGCCCCCGAGGATAGTACGGCACCAAAAACACGATCCAACAGTAATGTCCGAAAACTACAAAGTAGGCTATATATATACAGCGTTTGGATTCCTATTAACCGGCACACTAGACAATTTGTGATGTTTTATATAGTGCATTTTAGGAGTCAGTATTTTCTAATGTTTGTCATAGTTCCAAAGTTTGCAAAAAATCTGCAACGCAATCTATGAAAGGAGAACAAACAGATTAGGATAATTAACGAACCAACAAATTATGGTTCAAAATATCGAAAATAAAATATCCGGCGAAATGTGGTTCACCAATATATACTGAGCAGACTAAACAACACTTTGAAACTATGTTTTATTCTTTTATAGCGATGCTTCAAACTTCAATTCTTGCACCATACGAACCACTGACCTACCCCAACAACAGCCCCCCCCCCACATTAATGCCTAATTCTAAATTATATACATTGACATTCGTTTGGCGAGACTATCGCTAACCAATTATTTAATTAATGATTATTATGATTTGCATAATACCAATATTTATGTGAATGATATAAAAAAAACACGCCGAAACAAACAAATAATGAACCCTCTCTGCTGGTGAACACACAACTATCTTGTTTGTTATAGGATAGGATAGGATATAATATTTTATTTGGCACGTACACAATACAAAGCTAGTATAAAGTCCAAAATAACACAAACAAAATAAGCTAAAACAATTCTAAAACATGAAAAACAAAGTTTGCTAGACTACTACAAATAAAAATATCAGAACTCGAAAAAATCAAAACAAAAATATCCTATTATATATTTATATATGTTATATGCAAATGATTTAGAATTCAGATGAATGGAAAGCCGGTGGCCGAGGGGAAGACGTGTAGTGGCGTGAAGCTAGGCGATTAGGTGCCGTACGCGAGCGCCGGTTCGAGTCACGCACGCAGTACGTATTTACTATAATTAGACATAGTCATTACCTTGCCGTTTATTCGGTGTTATTTGCTGGCATTAAAACAAATTTATTAGCTGCCTAAATTCTATCCTTTTCCAGTTTAATAGCTTCTTTTTTTTTTATCAAACTTTATTGTATTTTTATCTAGATCCCGAATGATAATGTGATTTCAATAAAGTATTTACCTATAACACAATACTTGAATTCCCCTATCCGGAAAAAATACTTTAATTTTCTTGCTAAATTGGCTCGGGAAAAAATAATACTGATTTTTAATAATTCCAACCCCAATCACAGCGTCTTGTAACGTTTCTAAGTCAGTATTACCCTGGCAACGTAATATCTGCAAGCACTTACAGCGAATACTGACTTAGAACTGTTACAAGACCCTGTGACCCCAACGCCCTATTTTAAATGGTTCACGCATACGCAATACACGATTCCTTTTCCGCATTGACGTAAGTGCTGAGTATCCAGTGACGACACCGTTATCATGGTGCACCGGAAGTACAACTCTAGGAGTCATGGCTGACTTATCCATTATTACCGAGGGGTGCAGTGTCCAGTATTAATTCAAAAGACATTTAATAACTGCATGAAATAAAACTAAAATTTACATAAATACTTTATATTAAAATATTATAACTAATTCTATATAGTTTTGGAGGTAAACTAATTGCTATTACAAAATGTACTCAAATGTTTTAATCTTCACTGGGACGAGGCCAGTGCTCCCCTTTCATTTCAGAGCGCTCAACTAATCGAGACGTACTAGTATTCCCAATCTTCAGTGTCTTTTCGTGTATATAAAAGTTCAACGTACACATGGTTTTGTTTTACTAGGTTATATTTACTATGTCTGCTTCGCGTTTCGAAGTGTCAAAGACAGATACAAGTGTACTGTTGCCAGAAAATGGCGCCGTTGAACTTCAGCCTATGCAGAAAATTCCAGAATCGCCTCGAGCTGACGACAGTGTTGATGGACAGAGCATCGAAGCTGCGGCGCCGATCGTACAAATGGGAGAAAATGACTGTGAACCACAGAATGTCGAGAAAAAAGGTTTGTCGCTGTCCTCGGTTATATCACACCACGGTTAACCGTGATCACACTTACCCATTAATAATAGCTCGATAACACAAGCTTTTGTTTATAGCGTCCGTTGTTTATTTGTTCATGTCAAATGCCGATTTGGACGGTAGACGAACTCACTGTGTACTGTGGTAGCACGTGTCTAGCTAGCAATACAAAGATATGCAAAGTACATGTAGTTTTGACTTCTACTTCTAAATATATCTTTATATCCAAACAGTGTAATAGTGTTAATTCAATATTTTAACTACTGGAGAATGTCAAAGTTCGTCTGCTTCACCATATTTGTTGATTCTGTGGCGTTCACGGCAATCATTCAATGCCACCTATTGTATTGAAAACGATACTAATAATTCACTGATTGATACTGCACATGTTCAAAAAATATAGAATAACCGCTGTCCCTCTATAAGGACTGGAATAACGCATGACTATACTAAAATATGTTCTGACTTTACAACCATTGTTGTGCTTTAATAACCGTTTTCCTTTCTATTGCGCAACTCGGGATCAATAAATTAACACTCTTAAAATCGTAGACTTTGTTTTCTAAATTCTGGAAGCACTAACTGTAAACCGAATTTGAATGATGGTTGATGACCATCTACCTTTGCATTATTTTCACTCAAGTATTTAGCAAGAAAAAAAGGTTACATTTTTTTTCAAGTTTGACCTCAGCAGTGTCACAGGTCATAAACATGTAGGTAAAGGTCACATAATTTCAAACTTGAATTTGCATTTGTCCACTGAGCTTTGTTTGATTTTTTTTTTTGGCTTTTTAAAATTTTAATTTTATTTTCGGTTGTAATCAAATTAAACTGTGTCAACATTCTATCAACATCATATTTTGTTCTAGAATTCCAGACATTTTGAAAATTTTAGGCATGCTGCCTGGCATTGACAATTCCTTGGTTTGCACACTTGTTTTACATGTTTTTTTTTCTAATTTTTGATGAATGCATGGCCATTTTTTTATTATCTATCAACGTAAATGTTTATAACAATGGCAGTCAATAAATTTCTTAACAGTCCCTACAGCCTCAGTCTCATTTGCCCACAACTTGCTCAGTGACCCCCCACCAAGTGTCTAACAGTGAAATGTCTTCACTTGAGCGACTTTACTTTTAATGTTATCAGTTAACACCAAACACATTTAATATTGTACTCGTTTTCTTCGATCAACTTTCAAATTCGTTTGACCTTAAGAAATTGGCTGCCAGCAGAGTTACAGTAGTCAAGCAAGCTAAATCCCACAAAATGAAGGAATGATTCAGTGAAAATAAAATCCAGCAAATATATTTTACTCCCTATGTTTAGCTTCGCTGTCAACTTTGTCGAGCGGAGCTTATCATATGAGTGATTGTCCGTCGTCGTCCGTGTCAATGTTTTACTTTTTCGACTTCTCCTTGAAAACTACAAGCCTGAATGCTTTGATACTTGGTGTATATGTACCTTGGGTAGACCTCTCTCAGATTTGTTCATTTCATGATATCTTCAATTCTCTAATTTTGGTGAATATTTTTGTCATTTTTGGTAAAAAGTGATATTATCGACTTCTTGTTGAAAACCGCAAGTCCAATTGCTTTGATATTACATATATAGGTATTACATGTGGACCTCTCTCTGATTTGTTCATTTTGTAATGATATCTTTAATTCTCTAATTTTGGTGAATATTTTTGTAATTTTTGGTAAAAAGTGATATTTTCGACTTCTTGAAAACTACAAGCCTGAATGATTTGATACTTGTGTATATGTACCTTGGCAGTGTTCTCCCCAGGGATTTAAACCACTGTGGCGGCCTAATTTGCATATCATTTGCATATCATTTACATAATAATGGAAATTGACCAAAGCACATTTACACCCACACAATAAACAACATACATTTTTAAAAACAAAGTGGCAGATATTTATTTGCTTCACACAGTGTTATAAACACTTTTATTTTGGGCACTTTTGTAATATTAATGAGCTCGGTCACAAGGAAAATATTTTTTTTTTTGAGTCAAAATATTACGTTCCACAATTTAGAAGAGTTTGAATTTAAAAATGAAACATTCTCGAAATGCAAATGCTGCAGACTAAAAAGAAACAAATAAATTGTAAAAGGTTGAATGAAACGTTTGAGCCAGGATTATGTTCAAGACTTTCATGATCTTATTTACTACAAAATTCTCCTTCAAAAAATCGACCATGTTGTTATTTGGCGGATTGTTGGTTATTATTCCGACCATCAGCTTCTAACGTTTACATTTACAGTAAATGAACGAACAAATAACACTTCCAAACAATCAAAGTTACGACGTGACATAACTTACTTCGCGATGTTTTACACCGGTTATACCAATAATTCCTCTTACTCGGTCATGATGCCATGCAAAAATTAAAGACTTCTTTTTTTTTATATGAAAAAACGTAAAATTTGAGCTAGTTTTATCGGGAGAAATTATTTTTGATCACTCGATCACTTTGGTGAAAAACACCAGACCCGCCATGATAGTTATGACGCATTAGTTGACCGGCATGTGTCCTTTGACCCGGTGGGTCAAAAACGCCATTTACCAATCAAAATGCCGCATGGTATTGCCGGTAGAACCTGATGTTTTCCGAATGATCGTGATCATAAAAATTACATTGCGGAAGTAAAGCGATGTTGTAGCACGATGTGTTGGTATGAATTTCAGATGAAAACTGCATGATGGTTTTTGAAAGAGGTGATTAGAAATTTTTAAAAGGTAAAAAAAAGTATTGAAAGAAGAGTTTTTACATAATTCACGATGATAACAGTTCAAATGTATTTTACCCAATAACGCAATAAACACGTTTTTTTCTTGAGTAGCGATTGTAGCGTAAACTGATCGTGAACTCCGATTTGCCCATGTTATATTGGGTGGAATTGATTTTGAAAGAGTTTTAGCTTTCAAACTAAAGTCTGCGTCTATCCTTAGAAAGTATTTACTTACAAACAAAGAGGTGCTAATTTTACAAAATTGACTTGTATTGTTCAAAGCCGCTACCATCGTCCGCCTGCACGGTGTTGTTCCGTTCGGACATTCCTCCCTCTACAACACCGTGCGGTAATACCATTCATAACCGTGTATGTCACGTGGTTGCACAATAGAAAGTTTACCGGCCAATAGAAAGCTTTGTTACAAAGACTGCCAGAAAGCGCTCGGAGCTCTGCATTTCTGATGTTTTCGGCTTCATTACTGCCAATATGTGTTGCAGTGATATCACGAGCTTTGGGGTATAACACCTACTCTTCTATAATAGTCAATAGTGGTGACAACACTATTACCACTATTACTAAGTAAAGCTTGAATAGCTTTGGTCTGAATACCAGTGAGTTGCATGATGTATGGATATTGTCGCTGTATCGCCTCGACATCCAAGCCAACACAGCTTTAGCTGTGCTCCGCGACATTTATTCTCGGTCAGGCATTTTCACCGCCTGGCAACCATCATGGTGAAACAAAGGCCAATAAATTCTCAGAAAACGGTATTTTGGGATGATTGTTGTCATGCCCTACATATGCAACATATTTTAGCTATTTTCACCGGCTTTTTGATCAGTGCACAGCAGCTCGCACAGAGTCCATAGAAATACATGGTAGAGTGGTGCGCGTCTTAAATAGCAATGTGGAGCGTTTAGTGACTTAGCTCCGCCTCGAAGATTTTGATAGCTTGGGCAAGCGCGTTGAAGAAAGAAGTAATATGATTGGCTGTTGTTAAACTGTGAGGGCATTGTCACATACACATAGTCCTAATGAAATACTTCAAGGTGATAGTGGAGTACTTCGCCGGAACATTCACCTTGAAAATTCAAGATGAGCCGCTACCACATCATGCGACTATGTCTATTGTTTCCAAATTATTATCCACGACTGGCAAGATGCGTGTCAGTCGGTACGTAAGTATAATAACAATATGACAATAGTCGGAAGCGTTTCCGCAGTGGTCGCTAATTTTGAGTGCCGGTCAGGCCGCCCAGCGTGACGAGATCCTCCAATGAAAAGAAGCACTGTGGTCTTGCTAATCACCATGGCAGTGTCAGACCGGTGTGGCGGCAAATCGAAGCACTGTGGCGGGACCGCCACGCTGTTTACATCCTGGGGAGAACACTGCTTGGGTAGACCTCTTTCAGATTTGTTCATTTCATGATGATATCTTCAATTCTCTAATTTTGGTGAATATTTTTGTCATTTTTGGTAAAAAGTGATATTTTCCACATCTTGTTGAAAACCGCAAGTCTGATTGTTTTGATACTATACATATTGTTCATTTTTTAATGATACTTTCTGTTCTTTAATTGAAATGTGCATTGCTAACATCGGAGCTATCTCAGCCGAGAGGCTACTTGTTTTGATTCAACTTGTCAGAAATCAGTGAAAACAAATTTCATACAAAACACCCAAATAGTCATTTCAGCGAAAATTATTTTACGGTATTCAAAAATAACAACTTTAAGGACACCAAATATTCCAGAAATGACAAAAACACAATCACAAAGACTGGAGACAGACATGAGTAAAGCTGTGGACCCACAGCTAAGATTTTTAAATATCAAATCTATTTTTACCCGTGTGTCAATTCTGTGACATTTAAGTCTTTGTATCTTTCAACCATTTTTAATGTTATGTCTAATTTTGCTATTTATAGATGTATTTATGGATGTCTCAGGTGTAAAATTACAGTATGACATGAACTTGTGTATTAGTTTTTAAAGCGGGGAAGTTGCACCTGCGTATGCATCAGACGACCATAGCGTGTCGTTGTTTACAAACAAGCGTCTACCGATGAGCCTTTGTGTTTTTAGCGTGTGTTGTTATCGTCGCTTGGGACTCGATTCTTGTGCATGCGCAGGTGACAACCCTCCCGCTTTAAACTAATTCCTTTTCAGCACGTCTTTGATTGTAGCAATTTTCATGTCAATATATAAAAACACACACTCACAGCTCCACACCATTCACTACTTTAACATACTATAAAAAAAACACCAGTTACATCATTCTTGGTGATCAATGTTTCGGTTGTTGTCCACGATAGCTGTATTTATTGTTCAGTTTGATTAATGTGTCTGCACTTGCTGTGGTTCTGCTGTACTCTTTGGACAAAAACTTTTAGCATTATTTACTAAATCTGACGTCTCCTTGGTTATATGCTAGTCAGACACTGACAAGTAAGTAAAGAAGTCGGGGCATAGTCAACATCCCACTTCAGTATCACAGGTAGGCCTAGAAGATCACCAAACAGCATCTCAGATATTGGTGTACGTCAGTAAACAAAATTTTTATGTTGGAGAATACAGTTTACAAATACTGGATATGATATACTGCAAAGTGAAAAAAAACATACCCAACCATTGATTTTTGCACAAAAGTCTTATTCTAGGGAGCGGGCATCCGGGCATTTACGCCGCCTGGCAACCATCACAGAAAACAAATGCTTGAAAACTCACAGAAAACAGAACTTTGGGATAGTTGTTGAGATACCCCTAAACAATGTAACAAGATTACCCCTACGTTTGCAACATATATAAATTTGATTGCTCAGGATAGTTTGTGCTGTTTTCTTGACTTTAGCTGTTTTCACCGGCTCTTTGACCAGTGTTCTACAGCAGGTCGCGCAGGGCCCATAGTAATACATGGTACGGTGGTGCACTTGTCGGCAATGTAAACCGTTATGTGACGTAGCTCCACCCCGAAAGTAGGGAAATAAACCAAAAACACAAAACAAAAACAAATAAAACAATCCACAAGAACATTACTTGAGAAATGTATATGGACCCCATGGTATACATGAAAATGTCAATATACAATAAATGTCAGTGAATACAGTATTATCAACAACATATCCTTCAGCCCCAACATTTGGTGTGTAATTGTGTGAGTGTACACTCATGGACACACATGTAACTGTCTCATCTAGGAATTGAATACTAGATGGAATGATTCAAGTGATTTAAAAACAAAAAGGAGAAATACCATGATAAGCAGGAATTTCAATGAGTAAAAATTGTGCAAAACCCAAGAACAAATTACCGAAAAATTGGTGCAAATACCACAATCACATGTTCCGGATGAAACACTGCTGTAATTTCATAGTACATGTTTGGATCAAGATTTTTATGAAAATTCTGGAAAATGTTTTGCAGCTATATGTTGTGAAAGATCAGAGAGAAGTTGACTTAAATGGGGAGGGGGGGGGGGTAACCTTTCATTTGATGTTCAAAGTTTGTTGCAATCCAAAGTTTCAAGGGATTCAAAAACAAAAGGGAGAAATACCATTCATCCTGTATAATAAGCAGGAATTTCAATGAGCAAAAATTGTGCAAAACCCAAGAAAAAGGGCATAATTACCGAAAAATTGGTGCAAATACCCCAATCACATGTCCCGGATGAAACACTGCTGTGTAATTCATAGTACAGGTCTGGATCAACCTTTTTATAAAAATTCTGGTAAAGGTTTTGCAGCTATATGTTGTGAAAGATCAGAGAAGTTGACTTATAAGAGGGGGGAGAATGTATTAACCTTTCAAGAGTTCATGTGATTTATTCATTTTATATACCCAGTACTGGTACCTTTCTTCAACTTATTTTGTGTAAACTCAAAGATGAGTTGCTGGTTATTAATGCTGTATTCTGATGATAGACCATACTTTCATTTCAGATACAACTCCATCAATACAAGTGACGATGGAAGGGGATGATCATTCACACCATGTTGTTGTTCCATGTAATACCCAGAAAAATTTACTTCTTTATGAGGTAAGTTAAGTGAGACAAGAACACCCCCAACCCAAACCCAGAGATCAACATACTTTTTATATTACGAGATTTTACAGTTGTTTTGTTTATTCATCAAATTGTCAAATTCATTGTTATCAGATGCTCAGTGTACTTTTTTTTAGTCTAACTCTAAACTGGAATATAGAGAACTATCAAAAAGGATATATGTTTTTACTTGTCTCACAGCACAGTTATTTGGTATGAAAGTAAACTGGTTACATTGCATTGATCTGGTCCATTTTATTTTGAATTCAATAGTAATTTTTTACACTCTTTGTTGCTTTTAGGGGAGCCATTGAATCCCTCTCTCCTGTCACTCATTTATAGCATTGCTGCGATTTAATTTGAGTCAATATTCATGGTTTTTTTTTTTTTTTTTACTACAGGATGATATGAAACACATGCCACCATTGTCATCATTTCTCAGAGGGTTCAAAGCACCAGGCACAGAAGATTACAATGACGAAACAGAAAAACGTAAAATGGTAAGTACAAACTCCTCTTTTATCATTTATCACTAAATTTCTTGGTGCTCAGTATTTTTCAACCGGAAAGAGACCATATTTTTACTACTTTTTTGATTGGACAACTACATTTTCATGTGGACAACCAGTTTTTTCAAGTGGTTGTGTATTTTTTTTAATTCCGGACGCAGTCCGAAAACGGGGACTTATGTTTTGACGTCCGTGCGTCTGGACCTGTATCTTAGAAATGCCTGGACCAATCACAATCAAACTTCACACATATATCATACATGATATTATACATATGCACGTCAATTTGTTTCACGATCGGATTCAAGATGGCCAAATGGCGACCATTTTTGTGCTAAAAAATCATCATAATCAAGAATTTCTCTGCTGTTTACAGATGGATTTTGTTCAAATTTGGTATATATGTTAGACATTATATGACCTTGATGCACATCATTTTGTTTTTCAGATAAAATTCAAAATGGCCGACTGGAGGCCATTTTGTTTTAATGAATGTGGTTAGAACCATATATCTGACATGCTTTGACTGATTATGTTCAAATTTTATTATTCATTATACATGTATTCAAAATGGCTGATTTAGTTTTAATTAATGCTGTTCCAGAGCAATATCTCTCAATACTCGTTTGACCATCAGATACAAATGTCAATCATTTTAATGTTAAATAATTATATTCCTGACACGGTTATATTCCAGCTATATTACTATGAACAAAACTATATATCTTAAATTTGATAACTAACTGGGACTGTGCCATGCATGGCTTGTTATTAATTAATTTCTGAATGCAGCTTTGTATGTCACGTAACATTTGCAAAGCATCTTGAATTGTGACTTCTTGTTACTTGATTTAGACAATCATGATTATTGTTCTGATTTTAATTAATTTGAATATTTTATGGAAAGGAAGTAAACAGCTACAGATACTTTCTTGGGAAAATGTACATGTTTCGCTTGCATGTGTATCAACATGTTGATTAAAAGGATTGTGTTCCAATTAAATATATGATCACTCCTTTCAAAAATAAATATCGAATCAAATTCAATTATCATGCTCATAGTAGTCTGCTGTATTTGATTATCTGCCTGAAGTCACCCCCAATTTAACATTGTAAAAGTAATCTGTGGTAACAGAGCTCTCCTGCAGGAAAGCCTACAATCAAACATAATTTGTAGAATCCTATGGATTGTATCAGGCATGTTATAATGCAAGCAAGAAAACACACAAAATGTATAAAATTTAAATCCAAATTGCTCATGGTGATTGCAATAATCAATGGGAGTTGTTCTGCTTATAATGCAAAGTTAAAAAAAGTTTGAGTATGGTGTCCTTGAAATATCAGCAGTATATTGCCTGTTTTAGAGATGCACGAATAGCACTCCTAATACAGCAAACATTGGATCACCTGTGTGTTCACCATACACATTGAGATATTGAGTTATTGAGATACCAATTATTGGTTTCTTTCATAGTCTTTTATGGTGTTATAACACAAACAAACTTTGAATATTTGTTTTAACATGACACTAATTAATGTATTTATCTTTCAGAAAGCCAAGTTGGGTACAATGCTTGGTGTTTATCTACCAACCATCCAGCATATATTTGGTGTATTGATGTTCTTACGTCTCTTCTGGATTGTTGGTAATGCAGGTGTTATACAATCTTTCTTGCTTGTTGCTCTATGTTGTCTCACGGTAAGTTAGCTACAAAAATCTGGATAAATCTTTCTACAAATTAAACTATTTATTAAGTCCATATTATAAAACTAATACTTAGTCCATTTGCCAAGTTTTTTTACAATGCAATGTACGATACTGGACCAAATATAAAAACAAGTGGTAAAGAGCCAGGTTGCTAATACAATAGTTTGTAAATAGCTAGAAATAATAATAATAATAACTTCATTTCATCTTTAAAAATAAACATTTCTATCAATAATGTGTATAGCAACAAAGAATAAAATGAAATTAATTATGAATAAATTTACAAATCATATTTTCTTTTCATGTTTTATTAAGAAAGCATTGTGTATAAATTCTTCTATAGATTAAGTAATATTTTTATCTATGTTTTGCAATAAATAAATGATTTTTTAGAGATTGGTTTGTATTCAATAAATATTATTATTGTAGATTGCGATAAGCCGATAAGTTGCCTCACTTCCTAATGGATGTTAGCTCTTGTTTTCTTTATTATATGTTGACTCTGTGTAATTCAAGTAAATTCACATAATATGTCTTACTTTCCATTTCAGACATTCCTTACATCAATATCAATGAGTGCCATCGCAACTAATGGGGTTGTTGAAAGTAAGTGAAGTTATAGTGCTGATCAATTGCTTTATTTCACAGTGTGGCCTCTTCACTGTTATTATGGACGTAGCATGTAAGGATAGTGTACTGTAGTAGTGATTCATATTGTATTTTACACATGACTCACTGGTAAATTAGGCCATTTTAATACCTTCAGAAATGAGAATCACAGGCTTCCTTGGCTCATTTACACCTACTGTGTATAGGTACTTCATTTTCCGTGAGTGAATCGAAAGTAATAAATGCTCTCACTTGTGACTTCCATGTTTTGTTATCGATAGCATTACAATGTATTTGTCATTAGCTCTGAGCAGTAGTAGTAATTTTGACATTCAGTGTTATTTTGATAGGACATCCATTACATCATCATAACAGTCATTCTCACTTAAGTGTGATTTATTTCTTCATCTCACTCTTATAATAAAATACAAGTCTGAATACAAAATAGGGACTTGTAGATAAGTCATTGCTCTTCTGTACAATATGTGTCAGGTCTTAGGAATTTTTCACCAATTTTCAGCTTAATACTCATGAGTAGCTTTGGAAATGTACACGAATGAGCTGATTATGTACCCTTCTTTTCTAATTAGCCCCCGCCGGATCTGCGATCCGGGCGGGGGGTATTAATTTGGGTCGTGTCTGTGCAATGTGTGTTCACATTTTCATGTTACCAGCTTTTTCTCACACATGTGTGATCCAATTCAGTTCAGAGTTGGTACAGAGACAGAAATTGATGGTGCTATGGTGCACATCAAGTTATTTTTTCGATTCTTCAAAGTTTCACTGTGTTTTTCCTTGATTTTTAACATTTTTCCTTCAAAATCCGACTTTTCCCGAAATTACCCGAGTTTAATCCGAGTTTTGATGACGCTTACGCAGTTCTTGTCTCGGTGGAAATCAGTCAATTTTGTGAGGATATTGTATCTTTATTTGCGCAACGCTTCTATGGACAAAATTGTGTCTCGTCAATTTCAAAGGTAAGAAACTGTGCTTGTTATGGTATTTATACACTTTGTATTATCGTTTGTGTCTCGGGTTTGGTGATCGTGAGAAACTATTGCTAACCTGTCGAGAGTTTCGCCAGAAAAACTGCCTTTTTATTATGGTTGTAGGAACTGATTATGTATTGTGTAAATTGAAAGTTATCTCGTGACTTAAGAGGTTTGCAGTGCTCTCACCGGGATTCAAACGTCGTGGTGGTGTCGGCGCAATGCTGCTCTGAGATGCTTGCCAGACTCTGCCTCGCTCAAAATCATTATCGCCATGCTTGATTTCCGCAACATTTACATTTGTTTATGATTTCCACAGCTATTTTTCTATGAGATGCGTCCTTGCTGTTCATAAACAGCCATAAACAAGTTTAGTTGGGTCGGCATGTACTCATTGAAAGTGTTGGTTTATTTACGTAACGCAATAGGCGAAGTTAAAAATATGTCGCTACTCAGGAGAGCTTGCCCACAACGCTAAATGTCCCAATATAAACGTACCGGTACGTTTATTTTTTCCACAGAAAAATTCCACCCGGCACATTTTTATTTGGGACGGTACGTTTATTTATTTTTCTAAATCCGATTAAAAAAATCATGCCTTTTTCCCCATGAGAAACGAAGCCAAAAGATCGCACTAAAACATCGGTAAATCTGGTCTTTCGTGTTGCTTTTACCATGAGGTCGCTGAACTGTCATATTTAAATGCTTTATGGTAATTTG